ACTTTAATTTATCTCACATCACACAGGAATCAGTGGCACTTGTGTGAATTAATCAACTAATATCAATATATTTAAATAATATTTAAATTAAAACACAGATATTTATTTTTATTCACATCATCTGTATAAATCTTTTATTTTCTGAGGAGGATGTGAATAAACATTGAAATATTAAGAAAATTATTTGCAACATTTTTTTCTTTCAGTGAATTAAATTCTGAATGCAAGTATGTTATTTGGAGTTTAGACCATAAAATTTTCTAATGTCCAAAGATAGAAAATATTAGATGATTTGTTAGTGACATCTAGAATGTAACATTCTAATCTTGTGTTCTCTTATCTGTTAGAGTGATTTAAAACGAGACAATCTCATTTTCTATAAGCAATGAATTGTCAGATACCTATGAAGAAAAATCTAAATTACTAAATTATGTGTTCTTTAAAGCTGAAACTGGAAGATGAAGAAAAATCTTGAAAAGATACATCTCTTCTCAGAGTAAAATAAAGTTGAAATCATCAAACTACTGATTTATGATAGGATTTAACTCTTAGAAGAATATACTAATAATTTTTTATAAGAAATATGATCATACATTTCTGGTTGAGTTTGTGTGTTTGTATCACACGAATTAAAATATTTTTGAATATGGGACAATTATATTGAGTCAATTTCTAGGTCAGCTGTGAGGAAAGTCAGTTCACTGTGTTGTTTGTCACCAGAATCTATCTGAAATATTTGTCCATGAATATTGTTGTCACTTCTGGTCTGGTGCCTCTGCTATGTATCTAGAGATTCAGAAGACAAAGAAGAACCTGCAGTAAATGGTTGAGCGTAAAGAGAAGATTGTACTATGCATGTCTTTCAAGTTGGGAGTGCCAACTTGGTTGTTTTGAAGATCAACATTCACAATCCTGGGATATTTATCAACCTGTCATTATGACCAAAGATACCTATAGGAAATCAACAACTATCTGAAACTAAGAAAGCCACTATACAAATACACACACACACACACACACACACACACACACACACATATATATATATGTGATAATGATATATAAATTTTTATGTATCAAGAACAGTATTGGGGGTGGGGGAAATGTATGACAAAGTGGAAAAGTTTTTGTGTGATGCATAGTTTGACTATTTATATATATTAGTCAGTGGGAGGGCACTTCGACATGGCATAATGATTAGCAAGTTTGTCTCGCTGGTTCAGTTATGACTGAATAGTGAGATTGATCCTCACTGGGTGCCCCATACTTCCAGTCTTGTGCTACATCTAGGCTATGCTTAGAAAATCACTTGGCTTGTCTCACTTGAACAATTACAACTGAGTAGGGAGTTCAGTCCTCATAGGGTACCCCATACATTTGACCTTGTGCCACATCTAAGCTATACTTAGAAAATCATTTGGGTACTTCAACGTGGTGTAATGGTTAGCAAGCTTGTCTAGCTCAATCAATTATGACTGTGTAGTGAGTTTGATCCTCACTGAGTGCTCCCCATTTTAGGCCTTGTGCCACATCTAAGCAGCGCTTAGAAAAATCATTTGGGCACCTCGAGGTAGTGTAATGGTTAGGAAGTTTGCCTTGCTAGAATAATTATGAGATTGATCCTCACTGGGTGCTCCATATTTTCAGCCTTATGCCACATTCAAGCTATGCTTGAAAAATCACTATATTAATCAATGAGGCATGCAAGATCAATAATTTCCTGGTTATTGTATTATTCTAACAGCTGTTCATTAGGTGGAAATGGTTATTTGAAATTATTCTGATGAATATTAATAGAACTAATTATAAGTCAGAAAGCAATTTATAGTTATTGTATAGGATTGTTAACTTTTAAATCACTTTTATTTATTATGATTTACTTTAGTGCATTTTGTATTTATGCTTTAATTATTTACTACTGATTATTATTATTAAATTTACTTTGTTGCAGTTTTATGTGTGCATTTGTCTAGTTTATTTGTTTATTTATTTCCTTAATTAATTACATTTTTTACTTTTTATTCTTTATTTACTTAATTAATAATTTTATTTTTCATTATTTATTTTTCTGTGGGGGTTATTTTATTTGTTTTGTTTTACATATACATTTTTGTGTAAAGAATATTTTGCATTGCATAAAGAATATATTTTATTTGCATTTTTCTTAGTGATGATTTACAAGATGTTAGTTTTTAGTTTCCAATTTTTAATTCATGTAGTAAAATTTGTTTTTCATATCTGTATTTCGATATAAGTTCTAATCTCTTATTTAGTAATTTGTGTACTAGTTGATGTACTAGTTGAATTTATTCAAGTCAGGTGATCTTAGAAGTGACATGATAATGAAAATTCCATTTCGATACATCTGAATCATATGGGAGAAAGCAGTGTTTCTACACGGCCACCAAGTCTTGCATTTCAATGAAGGCAGTGACATTGACCCTGAGGCCCTAAAGGAAGAACTGGGTTGGTATGATATGTCCTTCATTGCTTATGACCCCCACACTATCACATTTCATGTGAGCTTAGTATGAATTACTATCGGTACCTTTTATATAGAGCCATTTCTCATTCTTTCTGTTCATCTGGCCTGTTTTTGTGATAAGCTAGTTGCTATGAAGTCATTGATTGGTGACTAGTGCCATGAAAATGATGTACCTTTTCAGTTTCTATATCAGATTGGAGGCTGCCATGTAAATCTTCATGATAAGTACAATATAGGCCAAAAGTTTGGAGCCATCCTCTAGATTTCAAAGACTCACCTAAAAATTGAAAGTTCTGTGCCTTTTTCAAAACTGATTTACTAGCTCTCCTCATGGCAGAGGGACTTTCTCTTTCTGAAAGGGCTTATGGCCACATCACATTGAAACACTGGTTCCAGTACAATCAGCAAAAATAATCAACATCAAGCCTAGTCAGTACCTAGATGGGTGACCACTTGGGAATACCAAATGTTGTGAGCTTGGATACATGGGTGGTGTAATAGATAATAGCTTGGAATTGTTAATTGGAAAGCCAAGTTTCAATTTCACTTGTGTTCAGTATATTTACTTACGCGCAAATAATCTTGGGAAAGGTATGAATCCACCTCTTCTCCCCCCAGCTATGGGTTAATTAGTAAGAATTGTATCAGTAATTATTATTTCCAAAAATATCTAAAAATAAAGTTGTGTACAAAATATTTAGATTTTAGCATTATATAATCCATAGTGGTTGATATGCCACTAAACAAAATCAACCAAACCAATCTTCCTGAAAGGCTTTATCATATATTCAATAACTAGATTAAAAGCCTCCCTAATGAGTGGCATTTAAGCCCAGCTCCTGTGGTGGGCTCTTGATTGGGCCATGAGCTTGTTCAGGAGTTTGAGTGTCTCTAAGTCTTTGCATATTCTCAGCATTGGAAGCTCTTCTGTCTGCTGTTTGATCTGGGTTTTCATTTGCACGGGACTTTGTTTTCCTCACTGCAGCCTTGGCCCTTTTGATTGCAATCTCATCCTTTGTTGGCAGAGATTTCTTTTTGCATGGTATACTGTTGCCGTATGCAATAGGCAACAATAAACTACAGAAGGACTGAAAATTGATCACTGCATTTAAGTATTACATTAATATTTAAACTTACCTTTTAAAAGTTCAACGATAATTCTTCAGCCACTGCTTAATTTAAAGACAATTTCATGTGCATTGGTCCTTATTTTCTATACAAACAATTATTTTTATTTCATGGGTGACTTTCACTGGATTTCACAATTAATTTTGATTATTCCCATATTTATTTCCATGTTATAAAAAGTGTTATCGTACCAAAATTTGTCACAAAAAATCGCAGTAATGAAAACTTGGCAATCCAAAATTTCGGTAGCATGAGTTATTGAAATTTAGAGAATTGTGTCCCTTTAATTGAAAAAGTGTGGCACAATGACACACTGACATTCACATTTATATAGATGATGAAATTAACCCATTACTGCCTAAAGTTTCCTTAAAATGTTAGCTCTTTTTTGCCTAATGTACCTTGCTGTCCAACGGTAATCTTAGGGATGGCAGATTTTAAATTTTTAAATAGATAACCACTTTTTAAAAAAATTGGCTGCCATGCATATAAGGGTTAAATAGTTTCAAAATCCTAGATTCTTCTTCTTTTGTGTACTCTCTCCCTACATGATATAGGCAATCATGGTTCTCTATAATGTGTTGGCCTTTGGAGCACTTAATAAATTTATTATGTCCTAATCCCTGTTCTGTCAACAATTTTCACTAGCTCATTAGGTAGGTTATTTTCTGCTTTCCTCTGTCTCTCTTGCCTTCAATATATCCTGTGAGTGTCAAATTCTTCAAGCTCTCTTTCCTCATTAGGCGCCCTACAAATTTCAAACATCTCTTTCTGTTTCTAACTATGTCCTTTTTGTTTCCATCTTACCTAAAACTTTGTTGTTACTTATATATTCTCTTCTTCATCTGGAAGGACATTGTTCAACCTTCACTGCAATATAGAATGACTGAGAAGTTAATTAAACCAAATAAGGTATAAAACTTTACTAATTGTTAAATCCAATGTTGCCTCAAAAGTTTTAGCCAATAATGTATGTAATAGAAATGGGAATGTTTAACATTTGGCAAATACCATGTGATATTATTACCATGTCTTCTATTTATAGCTCACTAAATGGATCTTCTCAGATACTTTGCATACTCTCTCTCTCTCTATATATATATATATATATAGAGAGAGAGAGAGAAATGTTACTGCTTTTATTTTTATCAATTCAGTGGGTAAAATGCAGTCAGCAGGAAAACTACCCAATCTGAATCATTGCTTGTACAAATCTGCAAATTGATCATTACTGACATATCTTCATAGTCAGAACCTTTTTCCGCTTCTTCCAAAAATGCAATTTTCACACATCTCTTTCTACTGTGTGACCAGAATTGGCACTAATATGTATTAATTCTACCAGAAACCAGGAATGCTGTGTTTGTGTTGAATAATTTAGAGGCTAATGTCTGCTTGGGTAAGCATTATTGGAATAATGTATATTATATTACTGACACAGAAGGGTCAAATGTGTTTTTGCATATCATTATGCCTGTTCATTCAGGCTTTTTAATAGGAAACTGTTTAACAATTAAGTTTGCAAGATTTATACCAGTGAGTGTTGCATCTGCTTTACAGCTTTTTAAATGTGAGTTTATGTTGAGGTTTATATATTTATTACTAAAAATGCATATAACTGTTAAGAAGTGGATAACTCTACAGGCCATTACTACTGTAGTTTCATTGAAGTTAAGATTCTAATGATTAGGGAAGCATTATCTCAGGAGTGTTCAACAAATTAGTGGCTCTTGGGAAGAAACTGTTTGAATGTTATTTCCTTTTTCCTATGGAAAACAAAGGGAATGAAGATTATACACCCCTGTGTACATAATATGGCGGGTCTTTAAAGGTCTGAACTAGTAGAACTAGGGACTATAGTTTGTCAGAACATTTTTCATGAAAATAGTGAGAAAGTTGTAAGATGGAAAATAATACATCACCTGCATGGTTGTAAAAAGAGGAAGATTAGGCATCTTCATTTTTGATTCTCATTAAGTGTCCTATTGTGCCAGACTAAAATTAAGTTTAGTATATATATATATATATATATATATATATATATATATATATATATATATATATAAATAATAAAAATATAGGTATACTATATCTATGCATAAAATGCACAATAAATATCAAATGGAGCATATGGAAATATAAATGTGGACACTATGTTCGGCACCAAGTGGTGACAATCTGTTTCATGCTTGAATGCAATCTTCAGGCCATATGTGTTGCATTATAGCTCAACTATACCAGGTGTGATCAGTAAATTGTCAATATTTTATATTTTTAATTTTGCATATGCACATTGTTTGTTTTTGATTTTGTCAACTGAGCAGTATAGTAGGATCAGTTTGGCACCATCTGTGTACAAAAGAGCACCATGACGCAATTCAATCTGCCAGACATTTGGAAACAGCATGTTGTACTGTTTGGCATTCATGTTGGAAGCTCCAATACAAATATTTCAGAGTGTTTGGATGTCAATCTGAGTATGGAGCAGAGGATTTGGAAAGAGTTGGATGAATCTAATGGTGATTACGAAGGTATGGCAGTTTGGAAAACTCACTTTGATTGTTCTGATAAGATAAGAACTCCCTAATTTGTTGGTGAGGGCCTTAGACTCAACACAGAGGCTTGCATTAAATGCCTTGAGGAGGCAGTGTTGCCCTGAGTCAAGAGGGTGGTTGCTGGAAGACTATATCTGGCAACAGAACTCTGCATCATGCCACAAAAGCAGGAGAGCCCAGTCATGGCACTCAAGCAATATCTACGACCACCTAACTCCTTACATCTGGCCCTCTCACTCTCCAGACTGCAACTCCCTTGATTATTATGTGTGGGGTGCAGTTTACTTGTAGATTTTGTCTTTTCAAGATACGTTCTTCTTGATATTATCTCAAAGATGAATATTAAAGTCACATCTCATAATTTAATGAGCTGCTCATAGTTGTATTCTGACTATTCTTAATTCAAATGCAATTAAGAAAAATCAATCACAACTTGAATTTATTAACTGAATACTGATTACTTACAAGCATATTTTTCCGAGACTTCTTTCATCCTATATGTCTTAAAATTGACTGATTTACAAAGTTATTAAATAACCCGCAGCTAGCTCGAAAATATCCAATTGTTAACTTTATTTATATACATGCATAAACAATGAACTTGGAATGACAATCCATGAATGAAATATATCTTAGCAAAAATAAAACAAGATATAAACTACAAAATAAGATTCACAAATGTATGTGATTCCTCATAAATAAAAATTTCTCTTCATATTTACATTGTTTTATTTTCTATTCAGAGCTAAATGTGTTTCTTCCAACATTCACAGCTGCGGAAACATTTGTGTGTATGCATCTCTTGACTCTTATAATGTGCACTTATTACTTGTCATGTCTGTGTATTGTAAGTGAGTCACCTCATTTATCTATACAAATTATGTGTGCCATTGTATGTTGCTTCACATAGTGCCTGTGTGAGAGACTGATGGTGTCAGTTGTGGGGGGTGGGTATGCTGAGAACTAATTGGAAAGCCGAGATGTCTTGGAGGTTGTTGATTGAACACAAGAGTTGTTTAGATAAGCACGATTGACCATTCGGTTGAATGTGCTGCCAAATCTATTTCAATTCCTGCAGTTCGTATTTATTGTATATTCAACTGACACTTAGACGAAGAATGCCATTGTCCCAATTGTGAATCTCTCTTTTTTTTACCCCCCTCTCCATGTTCACAGTCAGTAACTTTTTCTATTTTTTCCTCTCTTCAGTTTCTCTTTTTTCCATTTGAATTTCAAACATTTCTTCTAAGACTCTCTTTCTTACTTTATTTTCTTTCACTTTTATTTTCTCCATGCATCTCTCATTTTGTCATATTTCTTCTTTCTTTTCTTCCTCTTTGCTTTTTTTCTCTTCTCTCTTTAATGTTTTTCATATTTTTTCTCTTTTTTTACTTTTTCTTTACTCCTCCTTTCTTCCTTACTTTCACTTTACTGTCTTCTTTGTTACTATTTCATTCTTCCTTCTTTTCTCTTTACATCCTTGTCTTTATTTCTTTTTTTCCTTTGTGTTTCTATTTCCTACTTTCCTTTTTTTTCTCTTTTTCTTTCTTTTGTCTTTTGCTTTCCTTCCTTCTACTGTCTCTTTCTCATTTTCTTTCTTTTGTCTTTTTCTCTCCTTCCCTTCTTAATTTGTCTTTTTCCTTCCTTCCTTTTGCTCTCCTCCCTTCCTTCCTTTTGCTCTCCTCCCTTCCTTCCTTTTGTCTGTTGCTCTCCACCCTTCCTTTTGTCTGTTGCTCTCCTCCCTTCCTTCCTTTGTCTGTTGCTCTCCTCCCTTCCTTCCTTGGTCTGTTGCTCTCCTCCCTTCCTTCCTTGGTCTGTTGCACTCCTCCCTTCCTTCCTTGGTCTGTTGCACTCCTCCCTTCCTTCCTTTGTCTGTTGCACTCCTCCCTTCCTTCCTTTTGTCTGTTGCTCTCCTCCCCTTCCTTCCTTCCTTTGTCTGTTGCTCTCCTCCCTTCCTTCCTTTGTCTGTTGCTCTCCTCCCTTCCTTCCTTTGTCTGTTGCTCTCCTCCCTTCCTTCCTTTGTCTGTTGCTCTCCTCCCTTCCTTCCTTTGTCTGTTGCTCTCCTCCCTTCCTTCCTTTGTCTGTTGCTCTCCTCCCTTCCTTCCTTTGTCTGTTGCTCTCTTTCCTTCCTCTCATTTTATCTATTGCTCTCCTTCCTTCCTTTTTATCTGTTCTTTCCTTTCCTTTGTTTTTCTCTTTTATTCCTTTTCCTTCTTTGCATCATTTCTTTCTCTCTAAATTAGCCTTGCATTTCATCCTTTCTTAGCTTTGCATTTCCCCTTATTTTCTCTTGTATTTCTTTCTCACTTTCATATTGTTTTCCTCTAATTTTATTTCTTTTAATTTCCCTTATAATTTTCATTTAACTTTGTTTTAATTTTTTTGTTTTTCATTTGATTTTTAATTTTCTCCTTTTCTTTCTAGTTTCTTATTTTTTCTTTTATTCCCTTTCCTTCATTCCATCTTTTGTCCTCAAGGAATTTTTATAATTTTATTTTTTCCTTTCTCTCCTTTTAGCTTTTCCTTATTCCATTATTCATTCTTGCTTTTTATTATTTTCATTCTTTTAATGTTATTATCTATTCTTGTTTCTATTCTTTTATTCCTGTTATTTGTTCTTATTTCTATTCCTTTATTCTTGCTTATTCTTATCATTCTATTATTTCTATCTTTTTATGTTTATTTCTATTTCTTTATTCTTGTATTTTATTCTTATTCTTATTCCTATTTGTTTCTTTTAATATCTTACATAACTATTTCTTAACAATATTTTTACAATCAAGGATATCTTGCAATGGCTGGATTGAAAGCTTCATTAAAACACACATCCATAATAATTCATTGATTCAAGCCAATTGACTATCATCTGGACAAAGTCTGTCATCATTTCATTGTCTTTGTTTATTTAACCATGAACAAGATCATTCCTTTATGATAATTTAAAGGATAAAACTAAAAGCAAATCAATCCTTTTACTTTCTACATTTTTTTAAATGAGGTCATGTCATTATTTATTCTTTTGGATTAGCATTCTCATCTTGTTTTTCTAATAATATCTTAGTCATTATACTCTCAAGTGTCTGATATTTTGTAGCCCATAGGGAATTCTTATTCAAAAACCTTATTTTGTCCAGGTTTTAAATATATTGTTTTCATTCTTTGTTTTCTGACATATTTGATGGGGCCTTTCTTGGGGTTTCTATATTTATTATTGACAATTTTCTTCCTTATTATACTCTGTCACCAACTAGCCCAGGGTGTTGTGGAAACGAAGAATGGGTAACCTGGAAGGCAGAACTTGTTGTTACTGCTGAAGAGGTTAATTTCTTTTCAGCAAACATAAATTCAAGGCAAATGTATACATTGCATTTTGGGTATATAAATGTATAATTTATTTACATATATACAAAGCCATCATACTATCCATTTCTGTTGTAAAAGGCAACAGAGTGGGAGAGGAAGAAAGAAAGAGAAAGAATGTTGGTGGTTGTCGGCTGATGTTTTGTAAAGATGGCATTATCAGCGTTGAAAGTTGAAAGTGATAGTATTGCATTCGGTGTGCTTGCTGCGTTCTTGGCCAGCCTCTGTGTGTCAACATCTCAACTGGGTCTCTCTCTCTCTCTCTCTATCTCTGCCCCTTGCGGCATTGAATAAAGGAATTTATATCTGTTGTATTGGCTCCAAATCACAGTCTGGCTCTTTTAGCGGGAGTCATTTCTACTGGCCAATATATATAGTTCATTTTATTTTGCTAAATACCAAAAACAAGTGGCAAGCCATGATGCACAGAGACATGTTTTTGCATTCTGCCTTGGGCTGTCAAGCAGTCAACATCCGGCTTATAAGAAGAGTGTAAGAGACATGACAAGGGATGGAAATCATGACTTTTAGGGAATGTGATCATGACAACAAAGATAAAGATGCTTGTTTAAATGTTCTTGGAGTGTATGTTTTATTCTTCTGTCAAAGTGTGGTATCTGTTTAGGTAAATTAAAAAAAGTTTTTATCTACTAAGAAGAAATACCAATCACTCTGCCAATTTCAGGACATCAGAAAAACTTTATCATAATTGCCAAAGAATGCAGTAACCATATTCTCTCATTGTCAACATAAGTAATTAGCAATGCTTATCCATCTCTCCTGTTTCTGTTTAAGATATATGCCAGTTACAACACAGTGAAGATCACTATGGATGGGACTGGGTGTAAAGAGAATTAAGTATTTTCCCAAGGTATGAACACTAAAGTAGCAATGACCAGAATTGAAAACTTGTTTATATATAGTACTATCAAGATAAAAAGTTTAAACTGAAAGCTTTGATTTGAAGTCAATCTTTGCTCTGTTCTGCCAATTTCTTGTTTTTATGGATTTCAAGTTATTCTTCACTTCCATGATATCTGATAATGATTATCTTATTTCAAAAGTAAAACAAAGTAATTGTTTCTTGCAATGTTGCTTTTGTTCTGGCAAAGTTGTTTATCTGATTTTTTTCTTTTTAAGAGAAATATGAGACTTTAATGCAACATTGGCATCAACTTCAATTATAAACAATATAAAACAGACTAGATTATGTTCTCATTTACTAAACTTCCTATTAGATACACATTATCCCCAAACCTTTGCTTAAAATATTATCCTGTACATTGTAACACATTTAGTTGGGTTTAGAGGGTTAAGAAACTGGTATCCACTCCAGCTTTACGTTAGAATGACCTCAAAAAGAAAAATACCTTCTATGACAGAAAATTTGGTATAAAATTGGTTCCTTCTCTAAGACTTAATGAAAATCAAAATCTTCATTTTTTTCTAGTAAAGAAAAAAGCAATTCTCATTCAAAAAACAAAATAAATCTTTTAACTGATCTAATATTAATAAGCAGAGAAACACCAAGATTGTTTTTCTGATTAATAATAGACAAAAAGTGAAGGAAGGGCATGAGGATGATTTCATTTAAATTTCCAGACATGCATTAGAATATAAGCTTTTGGCAGAAGAATTTTGAAAAACAAAGAATTACAAATGAAATTTTAAAACAAAATTTAGCATTTCTTCCTTTTGATAATTTTCTATAAGATTTCTTTTTTTTTGTATATTTTTGTTTGATTTTTTAATTTTTACTTCATTTCTTCCTTTTTCTTTCAAACCTGTATTTTTTTTTTCTTTTTCACCTCTTCAAATCTTTCTTTTCTGTTTCTACTTTTTTTATTCACCTTTTGTACAATTCTCTCTCTTTCCCTTTCACTTCTATTTCTAACTTTACTTCCTCTCACTGTTCCATGCATCAAAAATGGATCTAACTTATTACATTTGGGATTCTTCCACAAGTCTTTTCTATGGAAGATCAGATGATAAAAATTTCATTTCTGTTTTCTCACTTTTTATGAACCAATTCTGAATCAGAACCAAAAGCCAATGCAACAGCTGCTCAAAGTGGCATTTTCTTGAATGAAACACTTAGATTCCTCACTTCCATTCCACCACCACATTATTCTGATATTCATTCTTGTACAGGCATAAGCTCCCAGATGTCTTTATGTCCCGAATGATTTACATCACACTGGCATTAAGTCTTTTTTTTTTTTTTGGTTGCAAAGAAGCATGTGCTATTTGAATATTAAAAAACATGTTGTCTGACAGAATTCTGTACTTTGCTAATTACAGTAACATGAACATATTTGCCAAAAATGATACATTGAAAGAATTTTTTAAGATATCTATTGTTGGTTTTCTTACAGTTTAACTGCTGTAATATTTAAAAAATGACAGCATGAAGATTCTTATTGGCTTTAAATTTTCCAGATGTTTAAAAAATCACAAAACACTTGTCTTGAATGCAGGCATCCATGTCTATAAATAATCATGAACATTTGACTATCTTTAATACATATTATAAATTTGTGTGTTGACTGAGTTTTTGCCTATTCTTCTTAGACATGAGCAAAGCTATACTTTTTGTTAGGAGTTTTTTTTTTCTTCAAAGGCAAGTCTCAAATATGCGATCATGAAACCATTCACCTTAAGAAGAATAATTTTGAAAAGATTTTCAAAGAAATAATAAATTGGAAAGAATTAATATTGTCAGTATGATGGATGGTTAGGTATTTGAATAGAAAGAAGAGAAAAGAAAAAAGTGGCAGAAAAAAAGAGAGAAATGAATTATTGGGCATCAAGAAAATAAGAAAGCCTGGAGGAGTGTGATAGGAGAGTGAGTTCGGATGTGAGCAAGAAAATTCAAGACAGAAAAAGAAATTACAAAAGAGGAATCAATACTAAGCCAGACAGAGAAGAAGAATAAAAGGAGTAAAAAAGATTATAATAAAAAAGGAAAAAGAGAACATAGAAAAGAGGGAAGAAAGTATAACTGAAAGGAGAGAAAGCAGAATGAAGTGAAAGAGAAAACATTAGAAGAGAGATAGAGAGAAAGTCTAAGAAATTTACTAATTGAGAGAGAGAGAGAGAGAAAAGAGAAAGTGTCAAAGAAAGTGAGATAAAGTAGGACAAAGAGATAAAGAGGAAAAGAAAAAGTGAGATGAAAGAAGTATTCAAGAGTAATACCTGAAATAGGCTAATTTCCTCATCTTTGTTGTTTATATCACATGGTTTAGGCTGAATTAATATAATTTTCTTTACCAAGATTTCTCAAATGTGCTGGCTGATATGCATAATACACACTGTTTAAGAAATAAAAATGGGGTGTCTATTTCAAACACAAAGTAACCACTATGACTATTTAAAGTAATAAAAATATTTAATTAAAGATAAATCCATTAATTCTTTAGAAATCTAAATTTCTTCACTAACATTTCTTAAATGCATGGGCTGACAGATTTAATACACAGTTTATAAGAAATAAAAATGGGGTGTCTATTTCAAACCCAAAGTATCCAGTATTACAACATTTGAAGCAATAAAAATGTTTTATTAAACACAAAAATCCATTAATTCTTTAGAAATTGTTTTGTTTACATTTCCAATATGAAACTGGAGAGATATGAATCTTTTGAGAAAATAATCTTGGAGAAGAGGATGTGCTTTCCTTTAAAAAAGCTTATATAGAACCTTGTTTGCTGCAAAGTTCTCCATGGCTGAGCAGTAAAGCAGACTGGCTCAAACACTGGTCTTCCCTACAAAGGAAGATGAATGTACTAAGTTTATAATACCCACTAATTAATAAAACTGGGGTGTCTGTTTCAAGTATGAAGTATCCACTATGATAACGTCTGGAGTAATAAAAAATA